TGGAGTTTTGGTGGATAACTCTTTGATGTAAGAGATAATATTCTAAAAATGATTCAAAGTACACTTTGGCATTAAGTGTTTAGGACTTGAATTCTTTAGTAAAACTGAGCATATATAAGGGCGTTAAAATGTTTAAGAATTTGTTTTGCTTCAAATATTACATTCATTAAAAAAAAAACAAGTTGGACAGGTAAGACCAGCAATGAAACAAATAAATCTAGCTCTTGACATTTTTTATTCTAAATGACTTCCACACAGTACTGTTAAGTAAAGAAAAGGTTGAAAAAAATTGCATGTTTGATAGGTATAGGAATGATGAGTAACCAACTTCAAAGCAAATTTCACACCAAGTTATCTAAATTTTTGGAAAATAGCAAAAGGATATTTTTTTGTAGGGAAGAAAATTTGTGTCTTATGTGATGGTGCCAGAACTAAACATCACTATCATTACTATAAATTTAATTGGAATTTGAGGTGAAGACTTTGGTGGATAAAAACCCATTGTTTAGGCTTTTACCTTACGATACCATTAGTTAGAAGGCAGTGTATTGAACAAATGCCAACAATGCTAACATCCTCCTGACTTCAAGTCCTGAAAGTGATACAGATAAAATAAAAATTCAGCAACCTAATATTTATTTTGAGTTTGATGCTTGATAGTATGTTGCAATCTAGGCTAGGCAATAGAAGCACAAAGACAAATATCAAATATTTGAGAGAAAGATGCAAACTATTTCAACAACTCTTGCGAATAGCCAATTTGCAAATTGGAATGTTATAATTTTCATGATATGAAGTTATTATTTTTTGTACAGCGAGTATCTAAGAATTTACCCTTTTGAACAGCCAAGCTATTTCAGTAATATTTTGGAATAAAATTTTGCTAGGAAATTAGTTTATCGTCTTTGATTTATTGTCCCAATGGTTGAACAAAGATGAAGCTACTAAGATTTTTCTTTATTATTAATCTTTTTTTTTTGTCTAGTATATCATAATCAATTATTCATGTTTTGCATCAAAATTTTCTATTTTGAGGTTCATTGCAACTGCTCAAGTAAGCAGGTCCTAAAACACACACTTCTTCCATGTAACTGCGACCATCTTCTTTCAGAGGTTCCTTAATATACACTTTTGTCACTCTGATCGGTCTCATTGCTGTGTAAAATCTTAATGTCTCAGACACCGTCTTGAAATTAATGAAAAGAAAGGTGTGGAAATATAAAAAAATTTAAGACTAATTTTATTTTGCTTTTTGTGTAAAGAAACATAAATTGTACATACACAGATTAAAAAGGCATACCCAGGTCATATCAACTTCCAGTCAAAATCAAACCCGATCTATCAACTCAGATTGACACCCTAATATAGAAATATTACTACCAAATTTTAAAACGTAATTGGGGAAAAAATATATATAAACTAGTTTAATAGATGCTCCAAATGATGGATCTAATATGCTTGGATCCTATCAAAAACATAAAATCTTGTGCTCCAAATGACGAATTTCGAGGCATTTGGAAGTAGGGAGGCGCATTTAATACCAAGTAATACACATAGCAAGGAAACGTTAGCCAGTCTTAGAAAAGCATAAGCCACATTTATTGGAGTTAGCAAATAACCCAATAAAAAGATCAAAAGAGTGCTTCAAACACAATTGGAGAGCCAAAATAATTAGTGTGTTGGCATTATCAGACACCAGAAGATCATGTGTAGAAATGGGATAGCTAATATATATTTTGCCACAATTATTTAGTAGAATATCCTTTTTTTCTGGAGAATCTATCCTAAATGACACATGAGATGGCATCCATTAAAAAAAAACATCCGAGCCTCAAGCCATTGTTCTGCTAAAAATAACCATGAAGATCTCCACTTATATTTATAATAATAGATAAGGGGGCATAAGAAAAGCAAGCCTAAACCCACATAAAAGAAAATTAATAGGGATCCTTTGCCAATCAACCCTTTAAGTAGAAAGGTTTTATTCATAAAAATCAAACTTGACACAAAAATGATAAGCATGCTTGAAATTAAATCCCTAAAGGATTTAAGAAGCAAGATTGTTATCAAAATACATATACAGTCATTTTCTAAAGATAGTTGATACCGGAACTAGTAGAGAAAATAGTATAAAACTCAACAATAAACTTTCATTAATATTAAAATAGAATTACAACTTAACTCGAACGGAAATAACAGTACAAATACAAATGACACAAGCGAACACTCCTAAATGTATTCCAATTGGTGGTGGAGATCGGCAAGGTGGGTCGGGATGGCTAGCGGGGGTGGTGATGATCAAAGAGTGTTGGTGGCAGCGAGGAGAAGATGCGAAACTGTAGGGACAGCAAGTGGGAAGGTTGTGGGTGGTCGGTATGGGTAGTGGTGTGGTTGGGAGGAGCTTGAATGGAGTTAGGAAGGCGGGATAGCAGTATAATTTGTAGTAAATGGGAAAGGTTTGGTGTCGGGGTGACAGAGGGAGAGTTCGGCGGTTGAGGAGCGGAGAGGAGAGGGTTTTGGGAAGGTAGAAGGGAATGATACAATCACCACCTCGGAGAAAGAGACAGTTGGAGCACCACCATCTCCTCGGATACAACCAACAAAGGGGAAATGAACTCCACATAGGAGATCTGAAGACAACACAATCCGAATTGACTCCCTACATACTTAGGACAACAATTTATAGGCTCCCTCCAGACGGAGGAAGCTTCTACAGAAAGGAAGAGAGTGAGAAGCCTAGAGAAATCCAGAAAGCAATCCCTAGAACAGCAGATTTGTGATGTCCCAAGCCGGATAGCGGTAGATCCATCCAGACTTCAAGCGGGAACTCCCACGCTAGTGAAACCTTGCGATAAATCACGACCTCGCTCCTGCTTCTACGCCGCTCCTGCTTTTGCGATGCTAGGCGGGTCGGCCCCGCCTTCGAAGCCCCAGTAGTCGGGCACTGTTCAGCGCCCCGAACCGGGCATTGTTTTAGTGCCCGTAATTGGGCGCGGTTAGCGCCCGTGCCAACAACTTAGGAAATTTCTAAGAGAGTAGGAAGAGTCGTATCGGATCAATAAGCTATCAGCATGGATGTCACTTTATAAAAAGTGTTGCAAAGAAAAAGATATACATGACTGCCCCTCATTTTCAAAGGGGAAGAGTGATGTAAGCATACACCACTTGATCCACTGGGGGCATAATTAAATATATTGCCGATTATTTTCAAATAATAAGTTTGATTCCTATAAAAATTTTCAAAAGAATCAAAAATAAAAAACATATTAAATGAATTTTCTTTGTTGAAAGAAGGTTTCATACGAACAAGTCAAATCAAATAGAACTAATAAATCAAAAGGAATTAAGACTTCTAAATTCAATAAAATTTTTACCCTTGTCCAGGTTCATTAGCAATCATCAAAGTTATCAGATGGAATGGCAACCCGGAAGCAGTATAACAAGCAATTCAGATCAAATAAAAAATTTAATATTTAGCATCTAGACTGGTATATTCATTTCCGAAAGACAATCTTCATTTTGTGAGATATTCTATGTGAAGTAATACATTCAGAATCCAATTTGGTGTTCCATAGTCCTAGATCAGATCAATTTTTCTGCCAACAAAGCAACTTGTAGATGAACATTCAACCAGTTCTGAAAGGTGGAGTTCTTAAAGCATATGATAAAAAATAGCCACCCACGTAAAAATACACTTAATTCAGTAGTAATTTCAAAAGCCTCAAACGAAACAATACTGAGATAGGAACAATAGGCAGCAGCCTGGGCATGCAATAAGAAAATAGCATTCATGTCTGTAGTCATATATCGCAAAAATATAAAGAAGGAAAACATAAATAAAAATAATTCAGCGCCTATCTAACTTCTAATAAACCATGCTGCGAACTATTTTTAAAGAAAGATATTTATATGACAGCAGAATAAGTACAAAGTCTGGCTGAGCTGATGGATACAACTAATGGGTCTCAGAAGGCTGGGAATATGAAAAACTATCCTGCGGAGCAGGAGCAGCAGCTGCACTCAAGCTTACAGAAACGGTAGCAACAGCAAATGGGAAGGGTGTGGGTGGTCGGCATCGGTAGTGGGGTGGTTGGGAGGAGCTTGAATGGAGTTAGGAAGGCGGGATAGCAGTATAATTTGTAGTAAATGGGAAAGGTTTGGTGTCGGGGTGACAGAGGAGTTCGGCGGGGGGTGGGAGCAGAGG